TCTCATTTTAACCCATATCATGGTGTGTGATGCTGAACTATGAGTTTCTAATGGTGTTTGTATTTGCACTGTTCTAAACATTAATATTTTATGTGCAACAACAGCATATGCTGTCTCAGTGGCCTTACACATGATTTTAAATCTATTTTTTCAAACTTTATGATTTAAATGGGGATGATTGTACTGAGAATAACTTTCATCTTTTCTTCAACTGAATACTGTTTCCGTGCTGTTTTGATGTATTTTAAAGAGTTTGCAGTCAAAATTAAAACTGCTGGATGATAGATATTCTTCATTCTTTATGACAAATAAGATCATGTGAATTACAGAATGTACAATGTTTTTAAAATGTATCAATTGCGGTGTACAGTGTTTATTATGAGGGGGTAGAATCCACAGCTCAGTACTCACTACTCAATACTCATGAGTACTTTTAAATAGGCTACTCTTTTACTCTTACTCAAGTAGTTTTTTGGACAAGTACTTTTACTCTACTCACACTACATTTTTTGGAAGGTAATGGTACTTTTACTTGAGTATATTTTTTCAGTACTCTTTCCACCACTGCCAAAGAGCTTATCCGTCATTTTGGCTAATAATTCCATTCATATTCCACTGAATTAAAAATAACTAAAGAAATAAGACAAATAATTAAAATAATTATTCAATTAAATATTTGGGGAGAAATATTGTTACTAATAAGTCTAAAAGTTATTAATTTTTCAGAATATGTGCAATTCGATGCATCAGATACAAAATAGTTATAGAAATTATGCTGGTAAAGTACAGACTGTTCTTTTGGATAGTCATCCAAAACAAAAAAATAACTGCAATTAGACTATAGGGGGGGAAAAAACATTTTTAAAATTCAGTCATCCAGAACATTTTGTGTATATGCAGCAGAACCGGACAGTAACTAAGTACATTTACTTGAGTATTGTACTTAAGTACACTTTTTGAGTATCTGTACTTTACTTGAGTATAATTTTTTCTGGAAACTTATGACTTTAACTTCACTACATTTGAAAGACAAATATTGTACTTTTCACTCCACTACATTTCTATCAAGATCCTCAAAGTAGAAAGTCGTTAGCCGCTTTGAAAGTCAGTGGGTGTCTTTCTTTCAGACAGTTTATCAGTAATCACTCTTGTAGGGCTACATGAAACATACAACAATAATAAAACAGTGCATTGACATAAAAAAAGGAAATTTACTTTTGGTACTTCAGTACTTTTACTTAAGTAAAAATCTATCTTTACAACTTTTACTTGTAATGGAGTAATATTTGACCAGCAGTATCTGTACTTTCACTCAAGTAATGGAGTTGTGTACTTTGTCCGCCTCTGATATGCAGCCTAAGTTTCACAATATTTCGGCTGTTCAGCCTGTGAACTTCTCACATTGTGCACAGTTGTTAAACTGAGCTGTGCACTCAAGCCTTTAAAGTGCTGAACAAATGTTGTGGTGCTTGTAGAATATCTGAGCTCGGGATTGGAGGCCGCTGCATCTACATTGCATTTGTGTATTGTCAGCAGTTAATTTAGGAGGATGGACTAATTTGAATGTCAGCATGGCCTCTTGAAATTATGAGTGAGTGTGTGTGTGTGTGTTGCCCAGTATATAAAAACTCACCAAAGAGGGTCAGAAATGGACATCATCAGGACCCTGAGCTGGACAGAGGTGAAAGCATCATTTCCAGAAAAAGTTTTCTTATATAACCTGTGTAAGTAGAATTCAAACATTTGATTTTTATGTCTATCCATGGCATGGTAATTTGTGTTGTAATGTAAATATTTTACATACAAGCATGCATTGGAAATAAGCCCGTTGTAAAGTAATTTTAGAGGAATTCAGTAGTTATTTTAATTCGTTTTTTTTTAAATAGAAGTTTTATTTTATTTATTGAGTAATGGTGATTGGGTAATTCTTATGGCTTTCGTCAATAAAATCAACAAAAATGAAATTACACCATATAATAATTTATAATATAAAAACAGATAATACTAAAACATTCCAGTTCTAACAAAGAGCATGAAATATATTTATATTTGATTGTACATCAAATGATTATCTGTTACACATAATCTCTGTTAATGACTTTTTAATGAGTTTATATGATATTGTCCGTTATGTGAAAGAGTTACTAATTAATATTTCTACAATAGTCGTGACATTACGAAACCTTTCCTTCTTACAAAGTAGAATATGTGTATAATAGAATACCAATATGAGATTAATAAAGTTACACTGCCATTCAAACGTTTGGGGTTTTATTATTTGAAAGAAATTACTATTATTCAGAAAGGAAACATCAAAGAATCATGAAAAACTGTATCATGGTTTCCACAAAAAAATATTAAGCAGCACAACTGTTTTCAACATTGCTGATAAAAATAATAATATGTTTCTTGAGCAGCAAATCAGCGTATTAAAATGATTTCTGAAGGATCACGTGACACTGAAGTCTGGAGTAATGATGCTGAAAATATAGCTTTGCATCACAGGAATAAATTACAGTTTAAAAATATATCAATTGTAGTGATATTCACAATATAACTGTTTACTGTATTTTCAATTACATAAATGCAGCCTTGGTGAACATAAGAAACATGAGAGACAAAAACATTTTAAACCCAAATGAATGGTAATGTACATTTTAAAATAGAATAGTCACACTACAAAGCAGTCACTTCTTGTAAGCTGGCAGTGGCACTAATAAAAGACCTATTTCTGGACCCTTATCATTGCATTCCACACGAGTGAGGTGATATTCTGCTGCTCAAAGAGATTAGATAAAAAGAGGCATATTACTTTGAGATAGAATACATCTATTTTTATATCTGACCTGTCACATACCACATACATGAAGAAAGTCAGCTTTTCTCTCAGTGTTTAACAAATGAAAAAAGATAAATACTGTTTTTTTTTAACTGTGTTAGTTGAACACTCATTCTTTCTAGTCAGTGTTTTTTGGCAGTCTTGGTTAGATTGTCTCTCTTCCCATCCGTGTGAATGTCAGAGTCCCTGCCAGAGCTGAAGATGCCAAACTGGGGTGGAGGAGCCAAATGTGCGGCCTGCAAGAAGACGGTTTACCATGCTGAGGAGATCCAGTGCAACAGCCGGAGCTTCCACAAAACCTGCTTCATCTGCAGTAAGTCCACAAAACGTTTTGCTACTCTGAATGCTAAACTGAATGCTACTCTTACCTGAAAGTAAAAAAGGGGGTATATTAAATATCAGAATCAATGAAACCAAGTTCAGAGAGGGTTAAGATTTTCCTTAAGATGACACATCACCAGATCTTTCAGGTAAATAATACAAATAAAAGCATTATGAACAGAGCCGTTTTAGCACGTTTAAAGGGTTAGTTCATCCAAAAATGAAAATTAGGCTGTGTTTTATTTCACGTCTTTTGAACCGAAGCACTGCAACACCCGCTGTGTACAACGATAGAGCTTGAAAGATCAAAGACAATTTTTAATATAACTCCGACTGGATTCGTCTGAAAGAAGAAAGTCATATACACCTAGGATGCATCGGGGGTGAGTAAAACACAGCCTAATTTTCATTTTCGGGTGAACTAACCATTTAAGGTATGTTAAACAAACAAACAATAAAGCATAACAATGTATATAAACAAAAGAAAAAATAAACAGTGGGAAGAAGAGCAAAATGAAAAACTAAACTAAACTAATTATTAAAAAATATAAACATGTGCATCCTTTGGTCCTTGGGTCCATTAGTATATTTACTCTTTAATGTTATATTCAACTATCAAATGTTTTGTTTAATAGCATCAGTATATATTAGGATGGAGCAAGAATTTTATTATCGCTACTATTATAATTATAATTAGATTTTATTTTTATATTTTCTGTTTTCATTTTGAGTTTGTTTTATTAATTTTGTTGTGTTTTTGTCATTACAAGTGTTTGAATTTATTTAGCTTTAGTTATTTTAGTACTTCAGCTTAAAATAATGAAAATGAGAAATGTTGTCTTTTGTTTTTACTTTTTATTAAAAATAGTTCATGTTTATTTTTTCATTTAAAGTAATGTTTTTTATGGTGTTAGTTTTAGTTAATGATAACCCTCACTCATTTCTTCTTCTTCTTCGTGTATCTGCTTATGCCAGAATTTTTAACATAGTCAATATATGCAAATAGAGCTAATGATGATGATTGGGAGGGATTTGGGGGGACTAAAATGCCATCAAAAGCAAAAGTACTGTTTGAAATGTTTCCCAGTGAGCAGACCGCTTTCAGTAGTGCAGCATTAACTCTTAAACGCTTGAGTCGTGCCAGGAAGGGTGGTGACAGTCAGTCAGTGTGAGACTGCTAACACAAACACCCCTGCAGTTCGCCACCATTCAAGGGCCTGTTTCCATCTGCTGCGGATGACATTGGCCGGGATGCTTTGGTCTCCCAGAGCCTCTTGTTCATCCAGCCCAAAATTAGATTCAAAGACAAGTTCCCATGAGCCTCTTGAGCCGTCCTGGCTGAAAGTGCAGCAGCTGACGAATGCAGACAGGAGATGACAGCCCTCTGGAGGAGCAGTGAGATCACGCTCCAACTCTAGACTCCCTCGGTCTCTCACAACAAATCCGACAATAGGAGATTTTATATTGCCAAAAAAAAAAAAATCTATTTCAAATAAATGCTGTTCTTTTGAACACTCTTTTCATCTAAGAATCCTAAATAACAAAATGTATCACAGTTTCTATTAGCAGTCCAACTGGTTTCATCACTGATAATCAGAAATATTCATTGAGCAGCAAATCAACATATTAGAATGATTTCTGAAGGATCATGTGGCTCTGAAGACTGGAGGAATGATGCTGAAAATTCAGCTTTGTCATCACAGGAATAAATTACATTTTAAAATATATTTCATATAAAAAAAAATATCAAAAACGATTTTAAATTGTAATAATATTTTAAAAAATGACTGTTTTTACTGCGTTTTTTTTTTTAAATCAAATAAATGCAGATAAAATGCGGTATTATATGTCTTTACTGTCATATTTTACTGTCAAATTTCTGTTCTCTAGTGGCTTGCCGTAAAGGTTTAGACAGCACAACAGTTGCAGCACACGAGTCTGAGATTTACTGCAAATCCTGCTATGGCAAGAAATATGGTCCAAAAGGTTATGGGTACGGCCAGGGTGCTGGAGCGTTGAGTTCTGACCCCATTAATAATGAAGAACTTCAGCCTCAGGAGTATGTCCTGAAAATATCTTTAAAATATATTCTTAAAGGAACAGTTCACCCACAAATGAAAATTTGCTGAAAAAGCACTCACCCTCAGGCCATTCAAGATGTAGATGAGTTTGATTCTTCATCAGAACAGATTTGGAGAAATTTAGACAAAGTAATCCACACAACTCCAGTCCATCAATTAACGTCTTGTGAAGTGAAAGGCTTCAGTGTGTTTGCTATTTATTACAAAAAAAAATCCATCAGGCATTTTACCTTTAAACATTACTTGGGCCTATAATACATAATAACATGTTTAGAACTGTTTTCGCTTGTAACCTGTGCTTGATCTGTGCATATTTCTCTCCTGATTTAGATGAGATTACTTTTTCAATATTAGAGGACTCTTATAATAGCCAGAAGCAATGGTTTAAAGTTAAAAACCCTTAGTGATGGATTTGTTTCTTACAAACACACAGCTTTTCACTTCACAAGACATTAACTGATGGACTGGAGTGGTGTGGACTGCTTGTGGATTATTGTGATGTTTTTATCAGCTGTTTGGACTCTCATTCTGACGGCACCCATTCACTGCAGAGGATCAAACGGTGCGCATGTAATGTAATGCTAAATTTCTCAAAATCTGTTCTGATGAAGAAACAAGCTCATCTACATCTTGGATGCCCATGAGGGTGAGTACATTTTCAGCAAGTTTTCATTTTTGGGTGAACTATTCCTTTAAAGATAGAGTATCACTTTAATAGTATTTAGAAGAATAATTTAGAGTTTTGTTGTTGTTGTTTTGTGATTCTTATGTGTATGTTTTTAACATGTTCAGGCCCAAAGCTCCCCATCCTGCATCTGCTAACTCAAACCCAAGCAAGTTTGCACAGAAGTTTGGGAGTACGGATCGCTGTCCTCGCTGCTCCAAAGCCGTTTATGCAGCAGAGAAAGTCATGGGTGCTGGAAAGGTAAAACTGCAGCTAAAATTAAAGCAAGAAGCTGACTTGAGAGTTTTGATACATTATACTGTGTTATGATATGAAATATATTAAAATTAAACAATTCAAACACAAATATAAGCATATTTTGAGAAAGTCTTCCCTTCTCAGCACTTCTGCAATATGCTGCTGTCACAGGTCAGCCGCAGCGCTGTGTAGTAATTTATCAGACTGTGACTGGTTCTGATCCAACAGCCCTGGCACAAAACCTGCTTCCGCTGTTTACTGTGTGGGAAGAGCCTGGAATCCACCACAGTGACGGATAAAGATGGAGAGCTCTACTGTAAAGGTACAAACAATCAAATGAGGCCCCAAGATCTCTGCCATCTCATTAACATCACTTAACCAATCAATAGACGCGGTTTCAGATAGACCTAGTTATTGTTCAATAGCCATTACAGGCCAATTTATGCAATCAAGAGCACAAATATTGCAGTGATTAAAGCCTGATGTTTATTTAAAGGGGTCATATGATGCTGCTAAAAAGAACATTATTGAATATCTCTTTGGATTTGAGACTTTAGTCTTTGCAATTTTACAGAACTTCTTTATGCACCAAGAGCTTGTAACACTCCAAAGAGAAAGGAAAAAATGAAATCGCATCATATGACCCCTTTAATCTATTGCATTATGCCGAGTGTTTTGATCATGTTAACAGAAATGTCTAGAAACTTGTTTCCACCAGGGGGTAAAAAACAAAAAAAGGAGATTTTGACTTGAATCTCACAATTCAAACTTTTTTTCTTGCAATTCTGAGAATTTTTATTTTATTTATTTTTCAAAATTGTGAGATGTAAACTCAGAACTATAAGATAAAAAGCCGTAATTAACTGTTTTTATTCCGTGGTGAAAAAACAATAAAACCCTGAATTACAAGATGTAAACTCATAATTCAGAGGGAAATAAAAGTCAGAATTGGAAGAAATAAACTCAGAATTGTTAAATGTAAACTCAGAGTTCCAAGAAAAAAAAAGTCAGAAATGTGAGATAAAAGGTTACAAGTACCTTTTTTTGTCCTGTGGCAGAAATGGGCTTCCATAGAAATTTGCACTAATTATTAAAATAAAGAAATAAATAACATACTAATGTTTCCAAAATATTGCTGAATACTACACTCTCAGAAAAAAAGGTACAAATCTGTCACTGGGGTGGTATCGTAAGGTACAAAAGCTAAAAGGTGCATCTTTGTAACTTATTTACCTCTAGATGGTATCGCCCCAGTGACAGTTTTGTACCTTTTATCCTGAGAGTGCAATTTAATATTAGCCATCACATATTTATTATTCAGAATTAAAATTTGTGACCCTGGACCACAAAACCAGTCATAAAGGTCAGTTTTTCGAAAATGAGATTTATACATCATCTGAAAGCCGAGATACAACTATTTGAAAATCTGGAATCTGACGGTGCAAAAAAATCAAAATATTGAGAAAATCACCTTTAAAGTTGTCCAAATGAAGTTCTTAGCAATGCATATTACTAATCAAAAATTAAGTTTTGATATATTTACAGTAGGAAATGTACAAAATATCTTCATGGAACATGATCTTTACTTAATATCCTAATGATTTTTGGCATAAAAGAAAAATCAATAATTTTGACCCATACAATGTTTTTTTGGCTATTGCTACAAATATACCCCAGCGACTTAAGACTGGTTTTGTGCTCCAGGGTCACATTTGTCAACAGATTCCTCCATTTTTTTTTTTTTTTTCCTTTTTCCAGTTTGCTATGCCAAAAACTTTGGTCCAAAGGGGCGTGGCCTGGGGAACCTGGGTGTGGTTGAGGACAATGAATGACAAGCTTAGACCAACCCAATGCAGCCGCTTTTTCCACTGCACACAACAACCGAATATGACTGTCAGAATTTGCCCCTTAGTGGCAGTCCTGATGAATTTTTTTGCATGTTCAGAAAAGGAGCGCAATAGCAAGAGCATTTAACCTCTAAAACATTCACCATGGTGGAATAAATAAAAGTGTGCAAAAATTTAATTATTAATTAATTAACTAAATGAACAATGTATTTCTTCTTTAGCAATAACTATGCATTTTGACAAGTTTTAATGCATTCATAGCTCAATTTGGATCTGAAAATTCCACATTTTCTATAGGAAATGAATGACTTCTGGTCTATCAAACGCTATTTGTTGTGTGCAGTGAAAAGCCAGCGTTATACTTCAAGCTGAAGTGTGTCAGTTCCAAACAGAATAAAAGAACAAAAGAAAACCCTCCAAAACTCACACCATTGGTTGAACCAATGTTCCTGTGTGTGGACTGTGTGGTTAAGCAGTTTAATGTTGTGATGGTGCAAAATGTTTACACTTTTTGAGAACCTCAACCAACCAATTGCTGACTTATTTCTCTTCATGGTAAGTTGGGAAAGGGGAAAATATTTTAATTACACACTTCAGCTTTAGACGTGATCTTATGTTGATGCTATGCAGCATAAAAGAAATGTATTACAATTATATGAATCCTAACTACTGTAACTGTATATCACATGTCATAGCATAAAAACATAAATAAAGAGTAAATAAAGGATAAAATATGTGTCATTCAACATTGATTCAAAGACGATCTGTAACTAGTAAAATTGTTTTACAGACATAAATTCAGCATATTAGAATGATTTCTGAAGGATCATGTGACAAGACTGGAGTAGTGGCTGCTGAAAATTCAGCTTTGCATGACAGGAAAATTAATAGAATAGAAAACAGTTATTGTAAATTGAAATAATATTTCACAATAATTCAGTTTTTACTGCATTTTTGATCAAGTAAATGCAGCACTTGTGAGCATAAGAGATATATCTCCGAAACTTTTGCACTTCACTATTTGATAATAGTGGCTGTAATGCAAGTTACTCAATATTAACTATTAATCAATAAAAATGTTTTTTGTTGTTGTTGTTACCTAGGTTTTGTATTTTGTTAGACCTAGAGAAACACTCTGACCAGCAAATTACAAAGGTGGTCTGATTTATTCCAAAGCACAGAGCAGGATTCAAGAACAGCACTTTTCCCTTATAATGATATACTGCACAATAAAGTATAATGAATAGAATTGAGAAGTGCAGTAAAGAGCAAGCTGATGCTATCAGACATGGCCCTGTACTACACAGTGGTTATTAAAGGCATAAATAAAAGAACAACTGCCTTTGAAAACATTACTTATTAAAGGCAACGATACTAATAGCTAATAAAATATTTTAAATTATATGAATCGTTCTGCATGTATAATGCTATAAATGCTGTGGTTGTAATGCATCTGACCGTAGCGTAAAGTCATTTCAAATACATTTTGACTCATCAAGGGATTTACGGTTCTCAAAATGACAAGAAATCAGATTTTCAGCATGTGTTCAATATCAGCTACTAAATTTGCTATTTTTGTAGAAATAAAATTGCTCTGATTTACGAATCTTTTCACAAAGAGCATACATATAGTGGTCACTTCCTGTAAAAGGACTTGGGAGTAAAACCCAAAACGTGATCTTACCGTACCTTACAAAATATTTCTGTTCAAAATATATCCGTATGCTTATAAACATGTATTCATCCTTATGTACAACTTAAGCTGTAAAGCAAAATCCAACCTTGAACGCACAGCACATATATACTATATTTCGCTCAAATAGAAAAGGTGGATGTTCTTGCAAATAGAACAAATGATTATCCAAATTAGCATTCAGTCTGTTCTTAATTTCCATCACTAAAAAGGCATTAAAATCAAACCAATGGCTCCATAACTGGGGACGTCGCTCTCCCTGAGTGGGTGACTGATCGCTGGGGGTCAAACAGCATCGGGGCCGCTCAACATGGGATGGTCTCTGCTGAGACCCATGGGATACTGTTGAGTCCAGTCCAGCACCATGGGCTTACAGAGACCACAGCAACGCCATTGGAAGAAGTTCACCAGGTTCCTCACCACTCCAAGACTATGAGAGAAGAAACAAGATTCAAAAATAAGAACTTTATGAGTGTTATTAACCCTAAACTAGTGAAAACAGCCTTACTTGAATGGGTTTTGTCTGAGAGAGAAGGCTTGAGGGAGTTTTCTCTGTCTTTGCATCAGGTTCGCTCTCTCGGCCGTCGTCAGCCCGAGGAACACGATCTGTGAGGAAACAAAGCAAACTATGAAGACTCTGTGCACACATTTGTTTTTACTACTATAGCATTTATAAGCATACGTATTTATAAGTTTTTTAAGCAGCCTTAAGTAGTTTTCATTTTTTATTTAAATTTTAGTTTAAGTTTTAGTAATTTTGTTCCGTGCTTTTTTTTAAATATATATTTAACTTTATTTTTAATTCAACTTTCATTTAAAAATGAGAAATGTTGGCAACTAACTGAAATAAATAGGTTTAATTTTTTTTCAAGTTTTATATTTTATTTCAGCATTATTTCAATTACCAACAATTTTTAATTTGTATTTTTTTTGAAAGATTTAAAAGTTTTAGTTAACAATACTGTAGTTAACAACACTGTTATTAATTATTAATAATTTTAACAATTTTGTTATTAAGACCGCTTATTAGGCTTGCTGCGATAGACGGTGTTTTCGGTTATACCGATGTTAAGGTGCAACACCGCGGCACTGCCCCCCCACCGTCGTTTTGATTTATTTATAGTAACAAAAATCATTTAGTCTAGTTCAGTTAGAGGACAGACACATTTAAAAACTAAACGCTCAATGCAGCGTGCCGAACCGTGCGTGAACGCGAACGACAGTGCTCCACGGAGCAGGAGTCAGATTTGATTTATCACGTGAGGAGAGTGAGTCGAGCTGACTGACAAGAAGAGTGAGGTGAGAAATACAAGACGATGGCAGAAGATTGTTTAGAAAGGAAATGCAAAGGCGCCTGTTTGGCAATATTTTAGATTTTGAAAAGCCTATTGACTGGAAGTTTATTTAAACATTTGTTTCTTATTTATTTGGTTACACAGTGTTTGCTGATTACTTTATTTAAACTATTTTTTTAAATAAAAATGTTTTATTTATTTTATTTTACATCAAGGTATATATGCCGTGCCTCCAAGCTTTCTTATTCGTTTTGATAATAAACGTTCTATGTTTCTTATTTATTTGGTTCCACAGTGTTTGCTGATTTTCAGTTTTATATACATATTTAAACTTTGTGTAGCCTAAGTAATTTGTTATTTTATTAGGCATATATGCTGTATTTTTATTCGTTTTGTTAATAAAAGTTCTGAGTTTGACGTTGTTGTTGCTTGAATTGAATCAACGCCGAATTGCCGCTAATTTGAAAGTGAAAGTAAAATGCACACGGCGCTTTTTCAAGCCATATGAAAGCGAAGAAAAGAGGGAAACTCAAACGAACTAACTTCACTGTTTATTCGTCACTCACCTGGTAGAGCTGCACCAAAAGCAGGATGAAGGCCCAGGAAGCGTTTAAGAAAGCAAAGCAGAAGATGTAGAGCACCCAGGGAGAGCAGCCCGTCAGAGCGGTCACCGCCCCCCATACGCCCTCCTCTGTGTAGTGCAGCGGACAGTGTTTGGACCAGTCTACACACAGAGAAACACGCACATATTTTTTTAAATGAACATTTTCTTCTAGAGAGACTAAAAATGCAAGATGCTGTATTTTACAGACATCAACTCTTAATATATACACTACCATTCAAACATCTGGGGACTTTCTATTCATCAGAGAATCTGAAAAATCATGTTTTCCACAAAAATACGCAGTATAACGGTTTTGAGCATTGATAATAATGTGAAATTTTTCTTGAGCAGCAAATCAGAACATTAGAATGATTTCTGAAGGATCATGTTACACTGAAGACTGGAGTAATGATGCTGAAAATTCAGCTTTGCATCACAGGAATAAATGACATTTTAGCATATATTCAAATAAAAATATTTGAATAAAATTTCAAAATTATTTTACTGTTATTACTGCATTTTCAATCAAATAAATGCAGCCTTGGTGAGCATAAGAGACATACTTTTGAATGGTAGTGTACATTGGAGTTGAAGTTGTGACTTACACATGATACTGCCGTAGAACATCCACATGCACAGAAAGCTCAGAGCAACCAGGAAAAGCACAAAGTACGGGTGATTTCTGGCCCCTGTAAGAAGAGGTTAGCATGAGTGATTTATAATGGGAGCAAAAACTGAGAGAGAAGGAAGTCTATGCTATAAAACATCTTAGTTTGAGCATGTTACCTATGCAGCCATTGATCCAAATGGAGTGGTGGTCCTGTTTAGCGACACAGGCATTACAGGAAAAGCAGTGATTTGCTCTCATTGGCTTTCTCATCTGCAAAACAAGGTTTTGAAATAATTTGATTATTAGGAAGCATTGTAGAATGTTTACAATATGTGGTCCTGTCAGGGCAATATTATACAATACTACAGTAAAACTGTATGTTTCCAAACTCTGGCCTTGTGGAAACTGCTGGTGATTGGATTCAATCAGTCATAAATCTTAAACTAGGTAACACAAGTTTGAATTTATCTTGTACAATTTCCCAACCTGGCTTTCATCTTTTTCATTTTGTGTCTTCTGTATCTCATCACTGAAAAGAGATAACTTACCATACATGAAGTGCAAAATATCCTGGGATCCAGACAGCCCGCCTCTGCCAGAACCACAATATTCTACAAAGAGACAGATGAATCCGTTAAAAGTCACCAAAGATGCGTCAAACTAGAAAGAACATCACGGAACCTAAAGGAATCATTAGGTCAAACAACACAAATAACTCTAAACAGACTCATCCAATTGAAAAGGTCAGAATAAATCGATTAGAACATGCTCAGTGAGCACATATGAAGAGAGACAATGTCAAAATATATTTTTTATTTAAACATATGTTATATTTTTGTTAGAAAATATAAAAAATATATATTTAGATTTAAATAGAATTTTTAAGTTATGTAAAATACAATCAGTACAAAAAAAACGATGTATAAATAACATGCTTGCTATATATATATATATATATGTTGTTTTATTTAATTTGTATTAAATGGTAATTTTTTTTTAATCTTTTCATTACTATAATTTTCTTTTCTTTCTTTTTTTTTAAGTTGCTTTGAAAAAAGCATCGGCTGAATGAATATATGTATGCATGTATATTTATAGGGATTTTTTCACGACATTCTCTCCATATATATCTTATATAATCACTGATACATCTAGTTTGAGATACAAGTTGGCAGTATCCAGACCATCCAATCAGAATCTCACCACAAGTAACTGACACGTTTATTAATCAATCAGATAGCGGCACCATGCCAGCCAATCACAGCCAGAGTCAGTTCTTACCTTCTTCTTCTCCTCCTCAGTTGCCTTGACGATGCCAGGGTCTGTCCTGCAGGAGCGGAGGTAGTAATACAGTAAGGCTGTGATGTTGACTGTGAAGAGCATCTGAACCGTAGCACTTGGGTCATGTGAACGACACATGTTAAGGTCTCTACAAACACTCAACACATACAACTATAATAACTAGAACGTCAGGTGGATTTATAAAACCCATCATGGCTGGTATAAACTGCATGAAAGTTATAATTAGTTTCACGTCTGGTATTATATAAGGATATCA